TCTGTAATAAACCCAAATCAAGAAGGACAGATTTTTAGGTGCTAGAATGTCTGTAATAAACCCAAATCGAGGACAGATTTTTAGGTGCCGCCAGCTCCGGATCCACAGGGATGAACACAGGTTAGAGCAGCTTCCCTGCAGCTTGTTATTTGGCAAGTCCCGTGCTGAACCCCTGGGAATGCAGAAATGATTCATAGCTGCAGATCAGAAATTAGAAATGTTGCATTCAAAATGTTGCTTTTGCAGATAAAACGCTTGGCAAGAAAAGTTATGGAGAAAAGGTGGAAAACTTGCTGATTATTGATCGCTCTCAGCACAACCAACCAACCCTCTTCATCCTCAGCACTTCAGCCTGTTCAACCTATGGAAAATATATATTTGGCTGCTGATGGGCTGCCTGCAGAGCAGGGACAGGCACCTGCTCGTTCTCATTTGCACCTCGGTGGAAGGTTCTGCTGCAGATGGAAGGCAGCAGATGTGACAAAGCTGAGGGCCACAGTCCCACGCTGCCACCAGGATATTAGGGCATGGCTTTCACTGGAGGAGGACATGCAAGGACCTGACGTGATCTCCTCAGCCCTGCTGTGCAGGGAGCCTTCGCCTTCACTGCAGCAGAGTGACACGAGAGGGGAACCTAAGGCGAGGGGAAGCAAGAAGGGAGTGTGTGGGGCCAAGTCCAGTTGGAGGCCTGTGGTCAGTGGTGCCCCCCAGGGTCAGTACTGGGCCTGGTGCTGTTCAACCTGTTCATCAATGACCTGGACGAGGGCACTGAGGGCACCCTGAGCAAGGTTGTGGATGATACCAAGGTGGGTGGAGTGGCTGACACTCTGGAGGGCTGTGCTGCCATCCAGAGGGACCTGGACAGGCTGCAGAGTTGGGCAGAGAGGAACCTCATGAGGTTCCACCAGGACAAGTGCAGGGTCCTGCATCTGGGCAGGAACAACCCCAGGCATCAGTACAGATGAGGGGCTGACCTGCTGGAGAGCAACTCCACGGAGAGAGACCTGGGAGTCCTGGGGACACCAAGGTGCCCATGGGGCAGCAGTGCCCTCGTGGCCAAGGAGGTCAATGGGCTCCTGGCTGCATCAGGAGGACATTGCCAGCAGGGCAGGGAGGGGATCCTGCCCCTCTGCTCAGCTCTGGGGAGGCCAAACCTGGAGCACTGGGGGCAGTTCTGGGCTTCCCAGTATAAGAGGGACGTGGAGCTTCTAGAGAGGGGCCAGCAGAGAGCAACAAAGATGATGAAGGGACCAGAGCATCTCTCATATGAGGAGAGACTGAGTTGGGCCTGTTTTCTCTGGAGAAGAGAAGGCTGAGAGGGGATCTGATTAACATGGATAAGTTCAGGAAGGGAGAATGCAGGGAAGAAGGGGACAAGCTCTTCTCATTGGTGGCCAGTGACAGAACAAGGGGTAATGGGTGCAAGCTGGAGCACAGGAAGTTCCATCTCCAGGTGAGGAGGAACTTCTTCACTGTGAGGGTGACAGAGCCGTGGAACAGGCTGCCCAGGGAGGCTGTGGAGGCTCCTTCTCTGAAGGTCTTCAAAACCCACCTGGATGCCACCCTGTGCCACATGCTCTGGGTGTCCCTGCTGGAGCAGGAAGGTTGGACTAGACGATCCCTAGAGGTCCCTTCCAACCTCGAACATTCCGGGAAGCAGGGAGTGTGCGGAGGGGACAGACCCGCGCAGGGACGCGAGCGCGGCGCGCGGGAGCGCCACGCAGGAGCTCTCACCCCTTCCTTGGCCACCAGCAGCTGCTTCTCGGCGTTCTGCTTCTTCACGTTGTAGTACTGCACCTCCACCTCGTGCGTCAGCTGCAGCCACTTCTGCAGGGCCTCGGGCGCAGCCCAGCTGCAGTGCGACTCCAGCTCCTTCTCGGCGTTCTTGAGCGCCATGCGCACCTGCAAGCACGGGGTGACAGAGTCATTCACGTTGGAAGGGACCTTTGGAGACCGTCCAGTCCAGCGTCCTGCACTCGCAGGGACATCCGGAGCAGGTGGTAGCGGCTGCGTCCAAGCGGGTTTTAAAGATCTCTGGATTAGGAGCCTCTGCAGCCTCCCTGGGCAGCCTGGGCACGGGTTTGGGCACCGGCACTGTTAGGGAATGTTTAAACCTGGGTGCCAGGGGCCCACGGTAGCAGCGGGGCTGGAGAGCCCTTGATCCCATCAGGCAGCGCCAAGGTGATGCCACCCGGTGCCAGCCGCTCGCAAACCCAGCGCCCCCCATGCACCACAGAAATGCAGCAGGACTCCCCAAAACTCGGCCTTATTCCCAATAGCAGCAAAAATCGGCAACCAGAGAGGGTCTCGGGGTGGGGAGCGAAGCGAGGGAGCCCAAATCCGCTCCAAATCCGCTCCAAATCTGCCCCAAATCCACTCCAAACCCACTCCAAATCCACTCCAAACCCGCTCCAAATCTGCTCCAAATCCATTCCATATGCGCTCCAAATCCGCTCCAAATCCGCTCCAAATCCGCTCCTCGGCAGCTCTCCATGCAGCAGAAGCTGCTGGCCTGGCTGGGGAGCCCCGTTGGGAAGCGCCCCGCAGATTCCCAACCCAAGGGGCTCCCCTGTCCCTGTTGGCAGCGCCAACCGGGTCCATTGCCACCGCTCATCCATCCCACACCATCACAGGGTCCCTTTGGCACCTCCGTGGCACAATTCAGCTGCAGATGGCACAAACAGCGGGGCACAGGCAAGCTGAGGGTGCCCCCAACTCGGACAGAACTATCACTCTGATTTAAATCAATCCCGGCTTAACCATGGTTTCTGGCATGTCAAATGCACCAAATAACTTGGAAATTTCCTAGTTGGAAACCTATTTGTGACCCAAGTGTAACATTGCCTAATTAGGTGCCAAATTTCCAAATTTGGCATCATCATTCCCAGAAAGACCTTCACTCTCCCTTCCAACATCACCCGCTCCAAGCTCTCCTCTCACTACCCGCAAAACTTGGGATTACGATGGACAAGGGCTCGGGATTTAGGAAGAATGTGGCCGTGCACACACGAAATCCGCTACTTGGCAGCGAGGGGAGAGCGGTGCTCGGAACATATCTGGGAATGAGGTGTTTGGGAGCTATGGAGAGGGACGTGGTGGTGGAAATGAGGGTGCAGAGGACAGGGTCATGGCTTGGGTGCAGGATGAGCTGCCAAGGAGACAGCACCTATACAAAGTCCAGTAGTAATGGACCCAGCAATCTATTATTTTCCAATCTCCTCATTCCAGTAGATTTCCAACCCTCCGGTGCCTTTTTTAGCAACAACTCTCAGCGGATGCTTTTAATTTATAGTTTACTGGGAGCCCCGAGTATCTCAGAGCGCTGAGGTCAGTGGGAGTGCCGGGTTAACGGTACCGGTGCGTGGAGCTCCCTGGCGTGGTGACGGTTACAACCACACGGTGCGGGTCAGCTGGGTGCAACCCATACTCACCCTCCAACGCAGCCCTCACGGAGGCCTCTGAGAAACAAGAGGGATTAAAGTCATCTCTGCCTTGCAAGGTCATCTCTGCCTTGCAAGGTCATCTCTGCCTTGCAAAGTCATCTCTACCTTGAAAGATCATCTCTGCCTTGCAAGGTCATCTCTGCCTTGCAGTCATCTCTACCTTGAAAGATCATCTCTACCTTGCAAGGTCATCTCTGCCTTGCAAGGTCATCTCTACCTTGAAAGATCATCTCTACCTTGNGTCATCTCTACCTTGAAAGATCATCTCTACCTTGCAAGGTCATCTCTGCCTTGCAAGGTCATCTCTACCTTGAAAGATCATCTCTACCTTGAAAGATCATCTCTACCTTGCAGTCATCTCTGCCTTGCAAGGTCATCTCTGCCTTGCAAAGTCATCTCTGCCTTGCAAGGTCATCTCTACCTTGAAAGATCATCTCTACCTTGCAAAGTCATCTCTACCTTGCAAGGTCATCTCTACCTTGCAAAGTCATCTCTACCTTGCAAGATCATCTCTACCTTGCAAGGTCATCTCTGCCTTGCAAGGTCATCTCTACCTTGCAAGATCATCTCTACCTTGCAAGGTCATCTCTGCCTTGCAAAGTCATCTCTACCTTGTGAAGTCATCTCTACCTTGCAAGGTC